TCGAATACGTCATCAGTACACTTGTGCCAACACGCCACAACAGAATGGTGTAGCAGAAAGAAAAAATCGGCATCTTGCAGAAATTTGTCAAAGTATGCTACATGCAAAGAATGTACCTGGAAGGTTTTGGGCTGAAGCAATGAGGACTGCAGCCTTTGTGATCAACAGACTTCCTCAACCAAGGTTAGGATTTGTTTCACCATTTGAGAAACTATGGAACATAAAACCTACAGTTAGCTACTTTCGAGTATTTGGTTGTGTATGTTATATGTTTGTTCCTGATCATTTACGGAGCAAATTTGACAAGAAAGCTGTTAGATGTATCTTTGTGGGATATGACATCCAGAGAAAGGGGTGGAAATGTTGTGATCCAATTAGTGGAAGATGCTACACGTCACGAAATGTGGTATTTGATGAAGCATCTTCTTGGTGGTCCTCAGAGAAGGAGGTGTTGCCAGATTCGAGAGAATTTGGAGACAAGCTACAACAAAAGATGGGGGAGCATGTTGTTCAACTCCAAACAAGTTCAGATGAATCAAAAGATCCAAATGGCGATGATGTCGAACAAAGAGTGACTCAGAATCCTTGGCAAACTGGCGTGTATCAAAAACCAAACGAAGAAGGTGGGCCTAGTGAAACAGAAGAATCAATTCCACAATCTCAACTCCGAAGGTCAACAAGAATACGAAGGCCAAATCCCAAATATGCCAATGCATCCATAATTGAAGAAGCAACGGAGCCTGAGACGTTCGAAGAAGCATCGAAGAGTTCTGAGTGGATGATATCTATGAAAGAAGAGATCAATGCACTTCAACAAAATCAAACTTGGGATATTGTACCAAAGATAAAAGATATGAAACCCATATCTTGCAAATGGGTTTACAAGATAAAGCGTCGTCCAGATGGGTCAATCGAGAGGTAGAAAGCGCGATTGGTAGCTCGTAGTTTCTCTCAACAGTATGGACTAGACTATGATGAAACATTTAGTCCAGTGGCGAAACTTACAACCGTACGAGTCTTACTTGCACTTGCAGCCAACAAAGACTGGAACTTGTGGCAGATGGATGTGAAGAATGCTTTTCTTCATGGAGAACTAGATCGAGAGATCTGCATGACCCAACCAATGGGTTTTCAGAGTCAAGATCATCATGAATATGTGTGTAAGCTGCAAAAAGCACTCTACGGATTGAAACAAGCACCTAGGGCATGGTATGGTAAGATTGTTGAATTTCTAATGAAAAGTGGTTATTCAGTAACACCAGCAGATTCTAGCTTGTTTGTCAAAGCCAATGAAGGTAAGCTAGCTATCGTGCTAGTGTACGTGGATGATTTAATCATAACCGGTGATGATGAGGCATAAATTCTTTAGACGAAGGAGAATTTATCAGTTCGTTTCCAGATGAAGGAACTTGGACAACTTAAGCACTTCCTTGGTCTAGAGGTTGATCACACACACGAAGGAATATTTCTATGTCAACAGAAATATGCTAAAGATTTGTTGAAGAGGTTTGGAATGCTCGAATGCAAGTCAACTTCAATGCCAATGGAACCAAATATCAAAATGTGTGCACATGAAGGAAAAGATTTGGAAGATGCAACAATGTATCGACAATTGGTAGGTAGTCTGATCTACTTAACCTTGACCCGACTGACATTTCTTATGCAGTTGGTGTGATGAGTCGGTATCTGAAAAATCCAAAGAAGCCTCATTTGGAAGCAGTTCGACGAATACTGAGATATGTGAAGAATACAATTGACTATGGTCTTTTGTACAAGAAATGTGAAGACTGTAAGTTAGTTGGTTATTGTGATGCTGATTATGCAGGAGATCAAGACACCAGGAGATCAACAACTGGATATGTGTTTAAGCTTGGCTCCGGAACAATTTCTTGGTGTAGCAAAAGACAACCAACGGTATCATTGTCAACCACTGAAGCTGAGTATCGAGCAGCAGCAATGGCAGCTCAAGAGAGTACATGGTTGATACAGTTGATGAATAATCTACATCAACCAGTAGATTATGCAATTTCATTGTATTGTGACAACCAGTCGGCAATTCGGCTGGCGGAGAATCCTGTCTTTCATGCAAGAACTAAATATGTGGAAGTACATTACCACTTTGTTAGGGAAAAAGTTTTGTAAGAAGAGATTGAGATGAAGCAAATCAAGACAGATGAGCAAATTGCTGACTTGTTTACAAAAAGCTTGAGTGTTGGAAAGTTTGAACATTTCCGTCGTCAGCATGACGTGATTCAAAGAATGGAGGCTAACATTGAGGGGGAGTGTTGAAAATTCAATATTAGCCTAAATAAGTTCACACCTAAATTAATTTGATGGCATTGCTTACATCAATTTAATTTTGATGTCGTTGCTTACATCAATTTAGTTAGGTGAAAATTAAGAATTTTTTTCATGTTTTAATTTCAATGGTTTAGATTATTTAGTACTTATTTTAATGAGTGGTTTAGATTGTTTCTTGTAACCTATAAATACCCTACTTGTATTTGAGTTTTATCATCCAACAATCAAAGCTTAATTATAAGCATTTGAAAGCTTTCTTAAGAGTTCTTCCATTTTGCAATTTTGTGAGATTATTCTAAAGAGTTTTTTCTTCTTCTCGATCAATTAGAGTTTTTACTCTATTTTGATTCAACATTCAGTGGCTGGCTTGTGGAATCCATGCATCTTCCTCTTCCTCGAATATTCTATTATTTCCCTTTCGCCTTCCTCAATAATCTAAGACCAAGTAGATGGAAATATACATACCAAAAATCAATACATGGGAAATGCCTGACGTCGTCAGTTTGTATACAAATGGATAAGTACTCTCAATATATATACATATGTCTATGATTTTTTCACTTTCTCAAGAAAGTTTAGCATGAAATTATACCAATCCAATATGCATGCATTAACTCCATTTTCGACGCCAAACTGGCCCTCCATTGGCTACCAAAAGAACTATGTCTATGAAAGCAATGGATGTGTTTAGCTTCCTTCTTTCAATCTCCTCCACCACAAGAAGAAATTCCACTTGATTCTCAATGTCCTCCATCTTTCACCCAAAATTGACTCCTGCATGCTCAAGAAACTTAACCACAACGCCAGCGAACGCGACCGGAGGAGGAAGGTTAACAGTATCTATTCATCCCTCCGTTCATTGCTCCCGGCAGCAGATCAAACGGTACTAATTAATCACGTCATATATATATGTTTCCTTTTTCATCGTTACAATCTGCAACTAATTTTGTTTCTTTTGTTGCAAACAGAAGAAATTAAACTTTCCGGCCACAGTTTCGCATGCACTGAAATATATACCCGAACTGCAAGAGCAAGTGGAGAGACTGGTTCGGAAAAAGAAGAGCCCATGTTAAGGGTATCGGAGCAGGACGGTGGTAAACGTAGAGATCAAGAAGAACAGCGAAAGCAAAGCAGGCCCAAGGGAAGATGTTTAAGCGGATCGGTTGCTGTTTCTATGAATAGGGTCAGTGATAGTGAAGTTTCGGTTCAAATATCAGGGCGGAAAGTTGACAACAGAAGCCAATTGTCTGTGTCTGACATGTTGCATTACTTGGAGCAACAAGGATTCCTCCTACTAAATGCTTCTTCATTCGAGTCATTTGGAGGAATTGTGTTCTACAATATTCACCTTCAGGTACCCATATCTATATAGCTTCATTATATATATACGTCTACGCAAATTTTCCTAGAGCACATAATTGTTCTGGAAATATTGCATGGATATACAGGAGTTGATGTCAAATTTTCTAGTGTTGTGGATTTTGCAGATGGGATTGAAAACAGCCTGCAAGGTGGGATCAGAAGAGGCTTTGCGTGAGAAACTTTTGGCACTCTGTGATCATAGGGAAGATTTGGGACTTTAAAAGCTAATTATCTTGGTTTACAGGGCAACGTTCAATTACCAAACTAAATCTGAAGGAATTATAGTAATAATTAAAGGGCATGATCGATCGATGAAACTTATTGAGTGACTTCAATAGTAAAAGATAATGTTGATCACTTTAGAAGACCTGGGTTCGATTAGCTACATTTGTAGGATGTTTGCCTTGTCAATAGGCTAAGAAAATCTTAAACAAATATTATCTTACAATCACTTCAGATTATTCAAAAAGACATGATCGATTGATGTTGTAGTTATACTTATGGAAGAACTGAACTTCTTGCTGCGCAGGTTACTGAGAGCCAACAATTGGCTTTCGGCTTTCTTCCGATAAGTAAACTATACAATAAACAAGTTTAATCCCAAAGAATATGTTAATGGAATAATTAAGCTTTGTTTGCAAACTGTGGAGAATGATAAGGGAATATAAAAATACCAAGCAGCCGACAAATAATGAATTGTTGCAATTTGTAAGTGTAACCATCGATGTCAATAAAGAGACATCAATATGGAGGTGTTCTTAAAGAGCCATAGTAGTGTTGGATATCAATAACAACAATACTCCCGTCCTTGTTACATTAGCATATTCATTATTTTTATAAACAGAGATAATAAATAGGCATTAAAATAAATATAAAATACCAATTCATCTATTTCAAAGAACGGAGCACAACATATTCATTGTTGTAGTTAAGTGTTGGATGCAGAACTGCTGATTAGAAATTGAATCATCGAAAATAGTTTCAAGTACAGTGAAAAATTTCGACCTTTTCTAATGGCCTTGTTGAGGAGGTTTGAATCAATAGGAAAAACTGAGTTTGCTGGTCTGGCTGAAGATATGAGCGCATACTGTGGATCGCCATGGCATAGGTGGAATGCGACCTTGAAACAAGATTACTTGTGCACTGCATGGGGCAGCCTGTCTATTATAGCAGCTGCTGTTCTGCTGCTACTAAGTTATACAAACTGTTTTTGCGTTTATTCAAGACATCTACACCAGCTTGTTAATGCTTGAACTCGTGTTGGGATTAATTTAGTTGGTTTATATAATCACCGTTTAGAAAAAGGCATCTAACAAATTTGAAGCACCGATGCAACATTTTCCAAAAGAAGAAAAGTTCAATGCACAAGTTCAAATCACATCGAGCAATCTCAGCTTCCACTAGAACCATCTAAAATGACAGGTTGTATTATATACATCATTCACTTGGGACCATACAATAACGTGTTGCATTTGCAGAGAAGAAGAAAAAATATCAGATAGAATAGGGTCCCTCAGCCAATCTTCTCTGTGTTTGTATCATCGGAGGGCCAAACCACAGTCTCCATGAGCCGCTCGCGCATCAGCTCCAAGTTCTCGTCTGAAATCTCTTTGTATATTTCAGCATGATCACATTTCTAATACCAACATAATACACAGGTTTATAACATATGTATATATTGAATTTGTTAAAAGTAAAAACCTAATAGATTTTTCATTACCTTAATCCATTTCCCATACAAATGAAGCCTTGTTATCATCACTCTTTCCGCAAGCTCTTGCCTCTCCTGTCATTGCCAAGATTAATAACCTCATTTTTCCTCTTCTTCTTTTTAAATACTTCATATCAAATTCACAGTTCTACATGAGGTTAGCTGGTTCATATTATCACGCTATAATTGTAATTGATTTGTTCTTATAGTCCAAAAATGAAGTGAAAAGTTTCTTAGCCTAGCTAGAATTTTGTGTGGAAGAAAAACAGTAAGCCGAAAAGACTCTTTAAAGTCACCTTGCCAAGGATGCGTAAGAAACGCTTGCCATCACTGGGCTTATTTGCTGCTGTAAACCTGCCAAAATCATAACAGTTAAATTTCACATCTTTCTAGGCATCCCCATTAGAAAGCAATGGGGTCATCAGAAACAGAACATAAAAGAATATATTTGTATACAACACTGGCCACCAGATATGCCACTTACTGATAGAACCATGTATATTGCGGTGGATTCATCTCATAGAGCTGATTCAGAACAGTCCTCACTGCTTTGTACGTGAAATAGTTGAGTAATTGCTGCAAAAAGAAAAATCAGCCACCAAAGTAACACATGCCTATCAATGTCAGTACCATGTTACTGCAGATTGCAGAAAACTTTGTACTGTAACTAAAAATCTTACCGTTTTAACATCCCCAAAAGTATCTTCATACTGCCCTCCTAAATTGTCGACAACCACGAGTTTTCGGTCCTTGCGCTGTTTCCTTGAACTCTTGTTCACGACACCTGGAATCATCTTGTAAGACAACCTCGAACCATGCCATGAATTTAGAAAAGAGCTTCCCAAGTCCAGAGACCGTGGTTTTGGTACCGCGTGCTTTCTTTTCATTGAAAACGTCCTTTTCATAATCAACTCCCCGCCAGTTTTGAGGCTCATGTTGGTGGACGGCAATGCATCCAGGCACAAACATGGACCGGTTTGAGAGTCCATAACTGATGAACCCACTACAGATAAACCTCCCACCATCTTTTCTTGGTAACTTGAGCTCTCAAACTAACAACAGTTGGACAAGGTTTATTGCTTTGGTTTTTCTTGGTTTTAACTGGAAAACAAAAAAAAAGGATACCAACTAAAGAGAATGAATAGTCTGATATAGTTGGTTGGTAACTTGGTATCCAAGAAACTAGGGGATTGAAGATGGGAAGTCAAATAGAAATTAAAGGAAAAAAATATTTTTTGGGGGGGGGGGGGGAACGTGTGAAGCATGAGGTGCTTTGAAAGGGTAGGTGAAGCTTAACCAGACAGATTTTGAGGTCCGGAATTGTCCAACCCGAAGTGGTTAGAGAAAAAGACCAAAAAAGGATATAAGACGCAAAATCAAAGATGGCTTAGCTTGCATGTGTTTGATTACGGGCTCCAACAAGTAACAACCACCTGGACGGTTGCCTAGATTTGGTGGGTCTATTTGTTATTTGCCATTTGTTTGAATCTAATGAACTTTGATGTATAAACGTGTTAAATTCATCAAAACAACTAAAAATGAATTTTATCTTCTCCTTCTCAAATTTCAACTTTCAACGCAACGCGGGTTCAGGTGTATGTTACGTTTATAATTCTTCCAAGGGTTCAAAACGAGCTATGCATTTCAAAATAAATTGTGTTCAAACTTGACCCTAAAATATGAAACGGGACAAACCAACGACACACTTGGCAACATATAGTATGTGAATGAGCTAAATATATATTTTGGAACGGGCCTGGACAGCCCATGAACCCTGTTTTTGGTTCTTTAATACTGCTTAGGGCAGCGGGCACACCCTGCACAAAGCCTCTCCAAATTAAATATTAACACCCCAGCATTCGTAACTCTGAAAAATCGCTCTTCTCTCTCTCTCTCTCTCTCTCTCTCTCGCTAGGATTTTTATTCTATCTTCATCTTATTTGACTTAGTCGCTTTCTTGTGATTTGGTTTTGAATCTTGTTGGTTCTTTTCTTGGAAAATAAAACTTCATAACTCGCCTTAAGTTTGGCTTCTATCTCTGCAACTGCAACAACTATACTCCACCATGATGTTTTTCTTTGGTGGTTTCATGACAGTTTGATTAGTTTTGTTGCTTTTTTTTTTTTTAACTTTATCACCTACTTCAATGGCACCAAGCAGCGGAAGGGGCAAAACAACAAGAAAAACAAGCAAGTCCGGAAGAAGCAGTTACACGAAGAAGCTTGTGAAGTCCAACAACTTCAATACTCAAACGACATCACCAGTGTCGGAGGATTTGCGTTCCCAGATGGATGGGTTCGATCATAGTGAAGGAGTTGATGATATGGCTACTGCAAGGCCATGCTCCACACCAAAAGCTAAAAGGTTTCGGATACCAGAGATCGACACATGCCCTCCGGCACCGAAGAAGCGAAGATCACTTCCCTCAAATTGCCCATTGCGAAGAACTCCTATTGCTTTCTTCGCTCCTCCAGATATAGAGCTTCTTCGTCTGTGCATTTAGAGACATCTCGGTTTGATGATATGTTCTAGCTTTTGCATAAAATTTGAATATCATTCTTCAGTTCGAGTTTCTTGTAGTTTTAGGGTTGTAGTTTGTATCTTTGGAACTTATAGTGCGACATATGAAGAGTACAGCTTTGAAGAAGAAGAAGAAGCCCGGTAGCATTGGCTACTTTTTTATTGGGGGTGCTGCTAATTAATTTTAATAAGTCGAGTTTCAAATTTGTAGGGCACAGCAATCGCAAATTTAGCTTTAATTCCAACTTTTCTTTTTCAAAAGCAATGTTGATGACTTCTGAAGTTTAAGAGTGCAATTTGAAGTAAGTGTGATTTTTGTTTTGTTTATCAAACTAAGAAAGTGAAAAAAATAGATACTTGTTCCAGTGTGCAATTCTATTGTTTCTCCATTGTTCATGATATTAACCAAGGTATCATCGGTTTTGGAATGGATACCCTGACACCCAATTTTTTGGAAGCACTATTGATAATGTGGTAAGAAAAAGGTAAATAAAGAGAGTTGATTAATGGGTAAGTTGGTGTAATTTGTCGGATTGATATGTAAAACAAATACAAGGAAAGGAGATATCATCAAGTCGGCTGCTCAACAATATAAATTAATTTATTCCCCCCCCCCCCGGGACGGTTGCGATGTGGTTAACTGAGCTCAGCCCAGCGGTGGTACGAGAATCCTAGGAAGAGACTCGTGCGCCTTGTCACCTACCATGTGGCGTCTTCTCATTCATCCAAATTGTTCCAAAACACAAAATATCATTAAAAATATATATGTTCATAATTAATAAATTACATATATGCAATAACTATAGTTTATAAGGCTTATTTGATGTAAACAATTGCTGGACAGAGGATTGTAATGCCATGCAAGATATTGTGGTTAATTATTTTGAAAATTTATTTATCACGTCAATTGTCATTCCGCATGCTCGTATATTGGATGCCATTGAGACTGTGGTTGATCAGGATATGAATGCCGAGTTATCCAAACCTTCCACGACAGATGAAATTCTTTCTGCAGTCCATGATATCAAACCGATTAAGGTACTTAGATTCGATGGATTACCAACTAGTTTTTTCCAGGTAACATTGGTCGATAGTGTGTCAGGATGCCATTCATCTTTGTTTGGATCTTCTAAACGGATATAGCGATGGTGAACAAAACTATCCTTGTTCTTATTTCCAAAATGGAGGATCCTACATACATGACAAATTTGTCCAATTAATTTATGCTCGGTCATATAAAGATAGTGTCTAAAAGTGCTGGTCAATCGATTGAAACCTATTACGGCAAGCTTTATTAGCGATAATCAGGCGACATTTCTACCTAGTGGACAGATTTCGGACAATATTCTTGTTTCCCGTGAATTACTGCATTATATGAACTCATCTAGAAACGGTATTAATAAGCGATTGCTGATTAGTGTTTTAAAGAGTTAATATTTTATACTTAATTTCTCATTATTCATTAAATTTTGTTATTTATTTAAGCATTTCTACTTGTTTTCTATGTAGGACCCTGATTTCTGGAAATTGCACTCAAAAGATGAAGTTACGCAATTTTTTTTATTTTTCCAAAATCATGGGCGACCTAGGGGGTATGAAAGCGATGACGTGGAATACAGTTAGCATCTTCTAGAAGGTCCAGTCAGTAGTAGTGTGAAGATAGAAGACTCAATCGCGAATTCAAATTTAAATTCGAGATTTATCTTTATTTTTAGGATTTAATTTCAAGAATCATCTTTTAGGATTTTTAATATTATTTTAGGATTTTTCAGGAGACTATAACACTCCATCGGGTTAGCCTGAAAAGATATCTCATATTCATTTGTTCATTTTTTTCTCTAGTTTTATTAAAGTTCTTTCTTTTTCTTTTAAGTTCTTTCTTTTTCTTTATTTTTTTCTTTAAAGTTTTCTTTATTTTTAAAATGCTCTTTATGGTTTCTACCATGCTTAGCTAAGTTTTTCATAAGCCAAAGGTTGAAAAGATGACTCAATTCCTAAAGTGACAATTGAAAAGCACCTCATACCCTTTGAGTTAAATTTCTCAATTTTCTGGAAACTAGATTGGCAGATGATCTTTCTTAAAAAAAATTCACTTCAAAAATAGATATTGGCTTGGATGTTATTATGGTTTATCGTTGGGAATATATGATCAATTGATTCGAATTCCCTTGAACACACTTAGCGATAACACGCTAAGGGAAAATTGGGATCAAGTTTGACTTTCATATAGAAATCATAATTCGAGTCAGGCTTTTCCAAGCGTAGTCGTAGTTAATCCGAATAAGGATTGAAATTTCTAAAATAGATTTAGGAAAATCAATCACCAAAGAAAAAAGTGAGCTACAAGGATTGAGCCTTGCAGACTCAAACTGACATTTAATCGGAGTAGAAACCTATTCAAGGATCAATTGGAATTTGAGGCAAAGTGGAACTCTGAGGCTGTTTTTAATCATCTTGAATTTTAAATTTAAATTTATTTTCTTTAATTCTTTTACTTTCTTTATAAATCTTTCTATCAAACCTCCATTTTTTACTTTTACTTGTTATTTTTGCCCAATTCAAGAATTTAAAGCAATCTACATCAGTATCTTCTTTAGTCCCTGTGGATTGACCTTTATTGTCTCTATATATTATTTTCTATTTTCTATTTTTGAGATTAAGGATATTATTTGACATTAAAACGATGTGTGTCAAATCGGTATCGTTACTGAGGAACTTCAGCAAAAGTAATTGATTTTTGTTTTTGATTTATGACCAGGCAAAACCCGAGTACATTAGAAGAATTTGATCTACAAATCGAAGCAAGAGCTAGACAAATCCACGGACAAACACTTAGATAGAAAAGAATATGACAAAAAGAACAATCAAACCTCGAAGGATAAACCGACATTGACACCACACAAGAAAAATCGACGCATTCCATTGAAGAATCGTCATATACCAAATTGCACTCTACATTACTCGAAGTCGACGCACAAACACTGAAACTAATGGCCAATCGAACCATTCACGAGTTAGCCACAAAGCCGCGGTTCAGCAACCTCTTTATATCGCATTCCCTCAAGGCGAAACACCCATGTCAACTAAAAACATACTCATTCATATCCTTCCTATCTTTCATGGACTGCCCAGTGAGAATCTGCACAAGCATCTCATGTTGTTTCATATGATCTGTTATAGTATGAAACACAAGGAGTATTCGAAGACAAAATTAAATTACATTCATTTCCCTTTTCTTTCTGGTTCAACAAAAGAATGGCTATTTTATTCACCTCTAAATTCAATCATCACATGGGCTGATTTAAATCATATCTTTCTTGACAGGTTTTTCCCAGAAGAAAAGGTAGAAGAATTGAGAAGAAACATCTTGGCATTAAACAAAAAGATGGAAAATCGCTTTATGACTATTGAGAGCGATTCAAGAAGCTTTACGTAAGTTATTCGCAACACGGATTAACCGAGAAAATTCTTCTTCAGTATTTTTATGAAGGACTGCTACCCTTAGAAATGAAATGGTCGATGATGCTAGAGGAGGAGCTCTCGTCAACATGACATTGAATGCAGCAAGGGAATTAATTTTGATAATGGCAGCCAACTCTCAACAGTTTGACTTTACAAGTGAACCCAACTAACGAGTTAATAAGATAAGTACCGCTTTGATTGAAAAAAAAATTAGATAAACTTATTGAAGTGGATAATTCTCTTGTTGCAGGAAAACTTGGATCAGCAAGAGTATGCGAGATATGCATAATGTCGGATCATCTAACGGACTACTGTTCGATACTATAGGAAGAAGTAGGTGCACAAGTAAACATTTTGGGAAACTTTTCAGGACATCCCAGAGGCCTTATAATCCTAACATAAACATATACAATCCAGGCTAAAGGGACCACCCTAACTTTAGTTACGCCCAGAACCCGATGCCTAATCAAGCTCATCACCCAGGCCACCTCCATAGCAACCTACCAACAGAAGAAGACATCACTCGAATCAATCATTGAATGATTATCTCTTTCCCAAGAAAAGTTTCAGAATCGCAAGAGTCACATTTTCAAAAAATCGACAAGTAGATCTGTAAATTGGTTCAAGCCATGGGACACATGGAATCACAAAGAAAACTACCATATCAAACCGAGGTGAACCCATGGGAGAATATTACTGCCATCACCCTCCAAAGCAGAATGATTATAAAAACCCAATCCCAGAGGAGTTAGACGCAGACTTCTAGAGGAGAAGTGAGAATGACGTAGGATCCCAGAGAAAGAAGAAAAATAGATTTACAACTATCTCATACCATCTCCTTATGATGTTCCACCTTCTTTCCCCTCAAGATTCATAAAAAAGAGAAAAAACTGAGGAGAAATAGATTTGGATGTTTTCTACAAGGTAGAAATCAATATTTCACTTCTTGATATAATCTGGAATATTCTAAAGTATGCTATATTCGTTAAATATCTCTACAAAAATAAAAGATGGCTTACCGAAAATGATAAAGTCGATATGAGAGAACATGTTTCTGCATTTTTCAATGCCACCAAAGTTGAAGGACCAAGGTATGTTTGTTATCCCTTGTAAGATTGGTAAGATTGACATAAAACGTGTGATGTGTGATTTGGGAGCATCTATAAATTATATGCATTTATCTGTATAGAATTTACTATATACTGAGCCATTGAAAGATACTAGAGTGACGATACAATTGACATATCACTCGGTAATCTATCTCGAATGAGTCCTAAAGAAAGTCTTAGTAAAGATAAATAAACTAATCTTTTTAGTGGATTTCTATGTCATTGACATGGAAAACGATTGATCAAATTCTTCTTCTAATATTCTCATTGGGAAACCTTTCCTTAGTATGACAAACACAAAAATCGACATAAGAAACGGGATTCTTACAATGTAATTTGACAGTGATGTCATTAAATTTGATGTGTATAAAGCGATGCGACATCCTAATAATATTGCTAGCATACATTTTATTGATATTATTGAACTTGCTGTTGATAAAATTGTGGAAACTAATTTATCCGATAATTTGTGCAGGAAATTGAAGGATAAAAATGAAGAATCTAGGGAATTGAAAACTATTTCATTTGTTGAATCAAATTTGTGCTTAACTCCCTCAAAAACTAAATTGTTATTTTCTATTTTGCAGAGATCACTATAAAAAATAAAATTGCTTCCTAAATATTTGAAGAACATAGTTTTAGGTGGAAGAAATAATTTATCAATTATTTTGGGCAAGCTTGTAAAGTTGAAGCAGA